GCCACGAGTAGCGGTACCGCTATCTGTTGGTTTCCCTGGATGGCCCACCCATTGTCGGGGGCCCTGGCTGTGGGCGATGGGGCACCGATTCCGGCGGCCCGGCGCCCCGCACAGGGCGTCAGGCAACGCGAGAACAACAGTCGAGGCCTCCTGGACGGGGTCGGAGCAGATGGGGTCGGAGGATCGCGCCGCAGCGCCGATGCATCGGCGGTGCGGCTCGATGTGGAGCCCGATTTTCTCCACGCCGATGGCGCCGATGCCTCGTCGACGTCGCCGATGCATCGCCGATGCAGTGCGATCCTCCGACCCCATCCACTCGGACCCCCTCCAGGAGGCCTCCATATGGAGCCCGCACAGACAAGCTGTCCGGGGAAACTTCAGAAGCCTCGACACCCTCCGAGATGGTGCTTACCGTCCACGGCCCCAGAGGTCCCGACCCCATCCGCGGGACCAGCTCCTCGCCCCGGGGGCCCGCAGAAGGCCGCCCCCCTCCCGCCCCCCCCCCCCGATGCCGGAATCGAGTAGCAGGCAGCGCCGGGGCCGGAGAGAGCGCAGCCGCGACAGGGCCAAAGGCACCGACGGCGCTGCCGAGAGAGCAGCCAAGGAGGGAGGGGGGGGTGCCGGGAGGGGCGGCGGAGCCCCCTCGGCCCGGTGGCGGCACCAGGCGCCAGGCGGCAGTGGAGGGAGCTGGAGTCGGAGCAGGCGCGGCCCCCCCCCCCAGACGGGGGCGGGGAGGGGGCAGCCGCGGGGAGGAGGCGGGGGCGGGGAGTTGGGAGGAGGTACGCCTGGGCGGTGTAGGAGGCAGGGGAGTAGGAGGGGGAGAGAGGGGAGGAGAGGAGCGGTGCAATGAAGGGTCGAGCCTGCCATCCGCCCTGGCGTTTGGTGTTGGTGGGATTCCCGCCGTTAGCGCGCGCATGTCGCTTGCGCTCCACCCTGACTGTCGACGTCTTGGTCTTTCGCAACATAGCTCCCCAGAGGTCTGAAACCTTTCCCCAGGGTTGTTCCCAACCGTACTGAAGTGTTGGGTCCTTGCTTTGAAGAGACGACGCCCTGCGTTTCTCCTCATGTCCTCCTCCCCCTCCTCTCTCCTCCCGTCCCTGCCTCTGCCCTCTGCACCAGTCAACCAGCCTGGCACACTCCTCACACGCTTTGTGGCCCCAGGATTCGTGGCCCCGATAATCCACCGAAGGCCGCAGTGGCTGCGTTCGCATGCGCCCACCGCACCCATTTCGGCCCACCCCTCACACATTTCGTGGCCCCATAGGGAGCTCCACCGAAGGCTGCAGTGGCTGCGTTCGCATGCGCCCGTCGCACCCACTTCGGCACACCTCTCACAGGCTTCGTGGTCCCATAGGTAGCTCCACGGAAGGCCGCAGTGGCTGCGTTCGCATGCGCCCACCGCGCCCATTCGGAACACGCCTCACACGCGTCGTGGCTAAATAGGGAGCTCCACCGAAGGCCCGACTGGCTGCGTTCGCATGCGCCCACCGCATCCCATGCACAACCCCATGCTAACCCAGCGCCAATACTCGCTGCACCCGCAGTCTTCTGCCGTTTTGACGTTTCTCTTTGCCCCTACGGTCCTCACGGCCCCCCGGCTACTGTGATACGATTTTGGGTGAATTCGTATCGGCCTGTGTCTTGGTTATTGTTGTGCGTATTATATAAATGGCCGGCCAGGTCATGTGGGGTGCTCGCACAACGTTTTTATCCAGACTCCCTTCCCGCGCGTTCCTTCCCTCCCTCTCCGCCGTCCGCCGTTCCCTTCCCTTCTGGTCTCCGTCCTGGGCCGCCCGTCCGCCCCCGAAGCGTCGTTAAAACCGCGCGTTTCACCACAGCAGGGCTGCGCCGCAGCGTGCGCCCGAGGTGCTGTTTGTTTTCCTTCGCCGCTTGTGGAACCGTCCAGGAAGGAATCGCCTTCACTGGCACGTTCGAAGGTTGAAACACAAATACTAACACATCTTCGCCAGTTCTCCCCACTCCGGTCCAGCTACTGCGTGGACCATCGGCGGGAAAACAGCCACATTTTGTTGGGAGAGTGTTCTCCTAAGCTGTGGCGAAAAGCAGCTCCTGATTGGTGCATCATCGGAGTTGTCGGGTATATATATATATATATATAGATGTATATTTTGTTTAAAGGAAAAAAGTACTTCGTGGCCCCATATGGGGAGCTCCGCCGAAGGCCCAACTTACTGGCTGCGTTCGCATGCGCTCACCGCGCTCATTTCGGCACCCCCCCCACACACCACACACCTTCCGTGGCCCAGCAGAGGGAGCCCCACGGAAGACAGCAGATTCGCAACTGCGTCACTGACACCTGCATCTGGTGGGGTCCTTCTCGGAGCGTGAGTTACCTACCCCGCTTTCGCTTCCAGGCAAAACCAAGTCATACCACGTGCCTCCTCGTCAAGCGGCCTGACCAGTACAGGCCGTAGTTTGGCATCGCTTGGTATCTCTTGGAGGCGAGGGTGGTCAAAAGCGAGGTAGGTTTGTTTCCCCCTGGCCTTCGCCAGGCTACTCTTGTGGACGGTCCCAGGGGCCGGGGAGGAGGACTCCCCGGGAGGCCGAAAGTGACCAACACCTCGGGCCGTGGTCCGGGGCCACGGAGACCTCTCGCAGTTGGCGCCCGCGGTCCCGGAGGCGGAGCCGCCGAGGCCCCTCTCGCGCGCGCGCGCGAGCACGCAGGCGCCGACGACGACGACGACGACGACAACGACGACGACGACGTCGACGACGACGTCGAGGAGGACGAGGACGACGACGACGACGACGTCGAGGAGGACGAGGACGACGACGACGACGCCGACGACGACGTCGAGGAGGACGATGACGACGACGACGGCGACGTCGACGACGACGTCGAGGAGGACGACGACGCCGACGACGCCGACGCCGACGACGACGAGGACGTCAAGGCGGTCGTGGGGGCCCTGTGCCGCTCTGCCGCCGTCGTGGGGCAGGCCGCGGGCCTTGCCGCCGGGATTTCCGGGCCCCGGGGCCATCGACGGATCGATGTGGCTCAGGGAGTCGGGGGCGGCAAAGAGTGGGGTGATGACTGGGGGGGGGGGATATCATGGCGGGGGCCATGATATTTCCCCAGATTTCATGGCGCCGCTTCATTACGTTCCTGATCCCCCCGCTGGGTCGCGCACATGCCGCCGGTCATGATTTGCGCCCCCCCCCCCCTCTTGGACACCCCCGTCTTGGCCGCTCCCGAGGGAGGTCCGAGCCCATGGAGTATGCGATTGTCTGCCGCGTTGGATATCAGCGCAAGAGGCGACGCCCTTCGTGTGGGATTTGCGCAATCCCGATGGTATGTTTAGATGTCTTTTGGAGTATTTGGTCTGTTTCTCCAGAAATCTGCCACAGAGCACTTTTGGAGGGCTTTCGGTGAATTCAGGGTTCTACAGAGTGTAGCAGGGCGCCCTCCAGGGCGCGAAGTTATTCGCGCTTCGCGGTTCGGCTCCGATTCCTCCTCCTCCCCCTTCTCTTCTCCCCTTGGAGAGGCGGGCCCCAGGACCACCGCAGGTCCATCCAGCTCCCCAGACCCCCTCGCGCTGTGACGAAAATCACGGCGGGAGGGTTTTCGCTATTTTCGGCCTCGGGGGGGCCCTGGCTGGGCCTCGGGACCGTCAAAAACGACTCAGGATGCAAAACTGGTCCCGGGGAAGGGGTCCAGACCTCTGGGGGTCGCATTGTGGAAAAAATCGCGACGTCGGGGGCCTGGGTCAGGAGGTGCGGCAGAAAGATGGGGTCCATAGGGGAACCAAGAATTACATAAGCATAAAAGCTCGGAGGTCCACGCGAATTTCTCGGATCGGCGCTGGGGCCCCGTGGCAAGTGTTCCACAGCGGGCGTTTCCGCCGGGTGTCGGGCCCCAGGACCACCACAGGTCGATCCGGCTCAGGAGGTGCGGCAGAAAGGTGGGGTCCTGGCCCTGCGAGCCGACGTCGCAAAACAAAACAACAACACGACATCGTGCGAAATCACGACCAGCGCCCTGGACCTTGCCTTTCTGCGCCGTTTCTCGGGCCGGATCGATCAGTGGGGGTCCTAGGGCAGGAACGGGGAGAAGACGCCCGTTGTCACAAACGTGCTGGGCTCTCCAGGAAGATTGGGTGTAGCGTTCCGACCGTGATGTTTCGCGGTGCTTTATTTTTACCAACCATCTAGTGATGAGTTGGGTCCTCGTTTTGAATACGCATCGCCCCGCGTCCTCCTCCTTCTTCGCTCCTCCTCCCTCCTGCTCCCTCCTCCTCCTCCTCTTCATCTTCCTCCTTCTCCTCCTCCTCCTTCTCCTCCTCCTCCTCCTCCTCCCATCCCTGCCTGTGCCCTCCGCGTGTCCACTTCGGCGCACCCCTCACACGTTTCGTGGCCCCATGAGGAGCTCCAACTAGGGCCCAAAAATGTGGGACCGCATGCGAGGTCCACGCCATTTCGGCGCACCTCTCATACGCTTCGTGGCCCGTGGCCCAATAGGGAGCTCCACCGAAGGCCCAAAAATCTGGGACCGCATGCCGGGTCCACACCATTTCGACGCACCTTTCGCACGCGTCGTGACCCGAAGGGAGCTCTTCCTAAGGCCCAGAGATCTGGCACCGCATGCCTGGTCCACGCCATGTCGGCGTGCCCTCTGTTCTGCTCTGCCGCCCCACGAAGCCCTGCCTACCAGTGGATCTTTGTCTGCGCCGCTCAGTTCAGCAGTTGACGGTCGGATATTGCAGGCGTTTCTTCAAGTCGGGCCACAACAAACAGAGGCGAAGAGAGCGAACGAAAGCGCTTGGAGCCAGCGTCTACGAGGGCCTCTGGAGACCTAGTCACTCAGATAGGGGGGGAGTGTGCCAGTGCCAAGCGCTCGCACTTCTCGGACGTGTGGATGTGCACCAGCGCGGAGCGTTCAGATCTTACTTCAAGCTGGAAGGAGGAGGAAGGGGAGAAGATGGGCACCTCCTCCTCCTCCTCCTCCTCCTCCTCCTTCTCGGCCTCTCCGCCGTCCGTGGCAAGTTTGGCTCAAGCAGCCAGGGCAGCACCGCACGGGGTGCCTGGCTTCCGTCTGTGCACCTCGCCCCGTGACGGGCCATGGTTCGACTCGATGCCAGGAAACCCGTCAAACAGCACCCGCCGCAGCCTCCCCCGGCACCGAGGAGGGCGACGGGCGCCTCCGGAGAGAAGCGAGGCGGTATGTGTCCGAGGATCTGGTTGTGGTCTCTGATGCTTCCTCTCTGCGTGCTCCTGCTCGTTCTCCCTGGGTTCGCGGGCTCCCACTTCGAGAAGCGTGGCCTGATAGTGCTCGAGAGCGGCGAAGCTGCTTCGGCGGTGCCCCACCTGCGTCGCGCTCAGTGGATCGCGGCGTCGTGGCACACATGGACAGCGTCGCTTGGCCCCTCGATTTCCGCAGCCGCTTTTGCAGGATGGACTGGCGTTGCTCCAGACACAGTGTATGCCCTCGGCCGTGCATTGTTGCAAGTAGGTGGCGGCGCAGCATCTGCGGAGACATTGGCCGATGCCGCTGGCTACTTCAAGCTCGCGATCCTGGGCAACGGGAACTTCTGGCCAGCACATGCGAATCTTGCGGCAGTGCAGCAAAAGCTCGGTGAACCTGTTGCAGCACTCGAGTCCTTAAGGAAAGCAATTGACATATCGAAGACGCCTACGGCGAATCACCGCCGCCCTCTGCATGTGGGAGGTGCCGATGTGGCCGAATGTTGTGGCTTATCGGGCTATGTGTTCCCCAAGCCGTAGTGGACAAGGCCTCTTGGGAGCCTCTTAGGGCGCTGTTGGGGCCTCCTGAGAGCATCCTGGGGACCTCTTGGAGGCCTCTTGGGGGCCTCCTCGGGCCTCTTCGGGGCCTTTGGGGGCTTATTGGTGGCCTCTTTGGCAGTCTCAGGTATTTCCTGTCCCGTCTGGCGCCGTCGGAAGCCCCGTCTTGGGGGCCTCTCTGGACCGTCTTAGGGCTTCCTTGGGCGGTTGAGGGCAGTCTTGGAGGCCATCTTGGGCATCCTGGGTGCCGCTTGGACCGTCTTGGGGCCCTCTGGGGGCTGTCTTGGGGGCCTCTTGGGCCGTCATGAGGCCAAACGGGAGGCTTCCTTGGGGCTCCGTGAGCGATCTTGGAGGTCTCTTGCGCCGCCTTGGGCCGTCGGAAAGCCGAACATTAGCAACCGCCAGATTTTTTCAAACACTGAAGGGGTATTAATGGGTTTGGCTTCTCCTGCCTTCCTGGAGGAACTTGGAGCGTCTTGGTACCGTCTTGGAAGTTTCTAGGTCCGTCCTGGATGCATCTTGGCCGGTATGGTAGGCATCTTGGACCGTCTTGGGCCGCCTTGGAGGCCATCTTGGGTCATCTTGGGTGAACTTGGGGTCCATCTCGTGTCGTCCTGGCAGTCTTAGAGGCGGGCTTTGTGCAATGTCCCGTCGACCTTTAACGCGCGAAGAACGGTATAGGATAAACTTTTTCGCCGTCGGGGACACCTGCCCCAGGGCGGCTGGAAAGTTTATACCCTTACGGTGGCACCGTAGGGGTATAAACTGTCCAGCCGCCCAGGGGCAGGTGTCCCCGACGGCGAAAAAGTTTATTTTATACCGTTCTTCGCTCGCCGAGACCTGGGATCCTTGCGAGTCTCAGAGGGTTGCCTGCTCCTCTGGCTCCCAGCCTTCCGCGCGGCGGGCGTGACCGGCCGAGAACCCCTCGGGAACTTGCCGAAAAAGACAACAGGCAGGGCAACGCCTGGCACGCCCTGCAGCCTTGTGGCAAGCCATAGGAAGCGGCGGATCCAGCATCTCGAAGAAGAAAACAACTAAAAACCTAAACCTTCGACGCGCGGCGCGAAAAGGTATGTTTATGCAGTGCGGGCAGGGGGCTCCTGGATGCCGGTGGGGATCTCGCGGGAGGCCTCTCGGAAGCCTCGTGAAGGCGGTTTGGTGGTTCCTTTGGAGCCTCGTCGGATCTGATCTGGGCCTCTTGGGGGCCACCTGGAGCTTATGGGTGGCTTTTCGGGGGCCTGCTCGCAATCGCGAAAGTCGTCTTGTGGCGCAGCGCTCGGCGTGTTGGTTCGTGTTCTCCCTCTGGCGGCCTTTCTGGGGCCCCTCTTGGGGCCCTCGCGGACTGTCTTGGGGGTATTTGGGGCCGTCGTGGGGCGCTCTTCGGCCGTCTTTGGGGCCTCTTGGGGGGGCCTCTTGGGCCGTTCTGCGGCAATCTAGGAGGCTTCTTGGGCAGTCTCGGAGCGTCGGGAGTCCGAATAGGCGATACCGCTAAAATCCGTCAAGCAGCTAAGTAAACTTAATAATTTGTGCTTATCGGGGCCTTTGAGGGGGAGGAGCTCTTGGGGTACCTCTTGAGCCGTCTTGAGGCCATCTTGGGTATCTTGAAGCGCTCGCGCGCCGTCTTGGAGGCCTCCCGGATCCATTTTGGAGGCCTCGCGGGGCCCTCCCGACCAGTCTTGGCCCCCTCAGGCCTCCGAGCAACATCGCGCGGGAACGTGCCCCAAATCCCCGGAGAGCCCCCTGGCCTTCGAACGAGTCGCGCGGGAGGCCTCGAGAGATCTGAGACTGAGAAGTTGGGGTCCGGGCTCTTGTAGTTCTCATAATTCGCCCAGGACCGAGGACGGAAGACTCCAAGGGACCCGAGAGCACTCCGATTCGTGCCCCGGGGCGGGGCGGCGGATTAGATCTGAAAGCGGATGGTGCACCTGCCCCAGCTGATCCAGATCAAGTCCTTGCATCATTGTTTTTCCAGCAAGGGACGGTCTTGGAGGGGCTTCCCGCGAACGGTTGCGATGGCGGTTCGTGTCTCACGTACGCGTTGGAAGCTTACCGGCATGCTCAAGAGCATGCGCCGTCCCATGATCATGCGCAGAAAGCTGCGGACCGCTTAGCACTGAAACTTGCCCATACCAAAGCAGATGATGCAGCCGCATAGGGGTACCAAGCCGACGGAACGAACACGAAAATTTCAGCACATTCGTGATGGTCATTTGGCCTCCGATATCAGACTATCACTGAGCGCGCTCTACTACTCGCAAAGTGCCTATTCGCAAATGTTCGACAGATATGTGTGTTCGCCTCGATGTAAGAGATCGTAGATCCCCCGCGGCGGATCAAGACCGTTTGCGAGCAGATATCGGGTATGGCCAGGACCCCAGGTCAGGGGACCCGGTTAGTGGTGGGGCCCCGTGGCCAGAGTCACTAAACCTGCCGTAGCTGGCGTTTTTCGGGTGACGGCAATCCCGGTTAGTGGAACAGGGCAAGGGGGGCGTCCCCCAGTACACATCACTAAACCAGGTCCCACTACAGGCGGCCCGGATTAGTAGGTCGACCTTGCCAGCTCCAAGGGTACCCTTGTGTCCTGTGCCTCGCGACACGTGCCTTCTTACACTCCTGTGGCGATGTGGCCCTCGGAAGGGTCTTGTGTCCTCTCGCGTGTCCTGTCCAATCAAGGCCGACTGTAAACCCAGTTCTGGCAACGCCCGATGACACTTTCTGCGAGCAGTGGAGCGCCCTGCCCCGCTCTGGCGGGCAGTACTCTTGCCCAAGGCCAGGTCTGCGCCGCTCGCCCTGACATGTGTCTCCACGTTTGAGAGGCTCGGCTGCACTTCTCTTGGGTCGGGCACTGTCCCTCTACAGGAGGAAACTTGAAACACAGTCAACAAATAGTCTGGGGACGATCTTTCGAGTATGTTTTGGCAATTTTGGTGTATGGTTTGACTATTGTTTATGTTTCGTCCAAAACCCCCTCTGTAGGAGGACAGGCCCGACTTAATGAAGGCTTAGCTGCACTTCTGGCGGCGCGCTCACGGGGTGAGGGCGAGGGCCAGGGCGTTTTTTAACAACGCCAGAATGGCCTGCTCGGAAGGGCCCTCAGAGGCCTCCAGGCTCGGCATCGTTCGGCCGTGCGCACTCTTTCTCGGCGAGGGCCATCGAGGAGCATCCTCGACCATCGGGCCGACAAAAAAGCGCAACCGAAACCGAACAGTGCAAGGGGAGCGGACGTCCGAGCGACGGCGAGTGGTTGGGAGGCCATCTCGGGAAGCACGGGGGACATCTGCAGGCGGGGGGCCTGCTCGCAGGACCATCCCCCCTTCTCCTCCTCCTCCTCCTCCTCCTCCTCCTCCTCCTCCTCCTTCTCCTCCTCCTCCTCCTTTATGGCCCCCCTCGTCCTCCTCATCCTCCTCCTCCTCCTCCTCCTCCTCCTCCTCTTCCTCCTCCTCCCACTCCTCCTTTGTGGCCCCCCTCGTCCTCTTCCCCCTCCCTGGCGCGCGGAGCGCGCCAGGGGCGGCGCCGCCAGGGGGGGCCCAGCGCAGATCCAAGAAATCCGCGCGGAGCGCCACAAGTTTATGTTTCGCGAGTCCACGAAGTCGATGCCAGGCGCATCGGTGGCGCCTCCGCGCAGCAACGCGGCACTCGCGCGCTGTCCGCGGAGTCGGGCCACGCGTGCGCGGGCGAGCCCGTCCTGTCAGCCAGCCGGTTGGGGCACATACATCGGCCCAGGCCCACGACATGGTTTATGTTTACAACGTTTTTCCTTCTCCCAGGTCGGGGGTCGCGGGTGCGCGCACGTCTGCGGCCTCGCGCGAGCAGCCGCGCCAGGTCGCCGAGCGAAGTGACACCCCCCCCCAGAAATCGTGGGGGGTAGGGGTAGGGTTCGCACGTGGCCCCCCTGCCTGGCACCCGTCGAGCTGCGCGCCGCTGGGCGTCCTCGGCTTCGGCGCCGCCCGCAGGGGGAGAGGGCGGGGAGCGCGGTGGCCCGGGCCCCCCTCCGTGGCCCCAGACCAGGCCCTACGGCGCGCTCCCCCGAGAACGCCCGCCACGTCATCTCGGATTTGCGGCTGCGCGTCAGTCAAGCAGTGGCGAAGCGTCCTGCCTCGCCTATAGCCCTACCAAACAATGTTCTAAGAACCTGTTGTGGTTCCCACGAAATGTTCTCAGAACATTTCTGGCGGAGATTGTCTTGTTTGAACACATCGGGTGTATGTTCTAAGAACATTGTTTTTGTTATTCGAACATTTTTGGGCTCTAAGAACAGTTCGTGGTAGGACTCTAGGAATGCCGGGACGGTCGGTCCCTGCTCAAGTAAGAGTGCCCCTGCGCCGGAGTGATTTTGATACGCGGCCGTCGGAGGGGTCGGTCGGGGAGGAGGGGCCACACCCAAGCACGCAAGCCGGATGTTGCCGGATCGCGCGCAGCCGTCGACGAGCCGAGCACCAAACGTCACCTTGCCTAGGGTTCTGTTTGGCGTGCAGCCGACATGGTAAGACACCCGAGCGATAGCCATAGCCCTGCCATTGTAATCATTCGGGCCTTGGAGAGGGACCTCGCACCCTAGAGGGCAACGCCCGCTGGTGAGCTGCACCCTGAGCTGAGGTGGCACCATCCCAGGCGCACGGGCCCGTGAAAAGTGGCACCGCACGTGCATCGTCTGGTCCCCAGGCAGCACTCCTCCTCCTCCTCCTCCTCCTCCTCCTCCTCTTCCTCCTCCTCCTCCTCCTCCTCCTCCTCCTCCTCCTCCTCCTAGTCCTCCTCCTCCTCCTCCTCCTTCTCCTCCTCTTCGTCGCTGCCGATCGAGCGCCGCGGCTCGGGCCGGCTGGACCCCTCCTGGGAGGTCCCCCAGAGAGCCGATGTCTTGATTTGTTCCATGAGGGGTCCTGGAAGTCCCGACCAGTTCCCCAAGGTAATTTCGTCCCCAGAGATCCAACGTAGCGAAAAAAACACGGCGGAGGTTTTCGGCAATTCTCGGCCTCGGGGAGCCTTCGCCGGGCCCGGGGACCGTCAAAAATCACCTCAGGATGAGAATCCGGTCCCAGGAGGTGGGTCGAGACTTCTGGGGACCCCGCATTCCAAAAATCTGAGTCCCGAGTCGTTTTCTGACGGTCCTGGGGCCCCGAGAGGGCCCCCAGAGGTTGAAAAACGACTGCAGAAATCCGCTTTGATTTGCGTAATACGTTCGATGTCTGGGGGCTCAGGGTTGGGCCGCCCCCCTCTTGGGAGGAGAGGCGGGAGAAGCGTCGTCAAATCCCAGCCTCCGGGCCCGAGTCGAGCCCCGAGGCCCGAGCACGGTGAGGGGCCCGCCCGATGCCCCGTATTGCCCGCAGGCTGGCGAAAGGCGCGCCCTGCACGCCCAGCTCGAGGCCGCCGAGGCCGCCGTTGAGGCGCCGGCGACGGCGCCGGCGACAGTGCCGCCGACGCCGACGTCGACGGCGGTGACGACGTTGCCGACGACGCCAACGCTGACGCTGACGGCGGCGACGACGGACGGCGGCGACGCCAATGCCGACGCCGATGGCGGCGACGACGGCGCCGCCGACGCCAATGCTAACGCCGACGCCAGCGGCAGCGACGACGGACGGCGGCGAAGCCGACGCCGACAGCGACGCGGGTAGACGACGACAACGGCGGCGCCGACGGCGGCGACGCCGATGCTGGCACGTCGCCCACGCCGAGGGTCGATGATCGGGGTCGAGGCCGAGGTGACGTTCACGTCGCCGACGGCCACGGCGGAAACGGCATCACACGGGCAGCGGTTTTGGGAGTTCAGGACGCAACACCACACGGGACCATGCCGCACTGCAGCGTGCAACGGTTTGTCCAAGTTGGTGGCCGATGTCAACAGATATTTTGTCTTGCCAATGCGTTAGCGTTGAAGAAAACTCGTTTTCATTAGTGGTCAGCTTTTTGCCAGCAGCTTTCCACAAGCTGGCACGGGTTCGTGTGACTTCACCATTTGACTGTACTACATTCACCATGCGGCAAACATGTCTTCCGACGAAGCCGGAAGGCGGATGAGGGGCAGGACGAAAACGAGAATGAGGACGGGTCCCAGGACAGCGAGGACGATGGGCGGGATGACCAGCTAGAGGGAAAGGAGCAGGAGAAGGAGGATTATCACGACTGGGGCAACGACGACGAGGAGAGGGAGGATCGGTAGGAGGAGGAGGAGGAGGAGGAGGAGGAGGAGGAGAAGGAGGAGGAGGAGGAGGAGGAGTACGACAACCACGAGGAAGAGAACGAGGAGGAGGAAAAAGACCACGACGTCCACGGCCTGCCTCCTCCTCGGCTGCCGACCTCCCAGAGGGCCCCAGAGGCATACCTGGAGGCCCAGGAAGGGGGGCCAGAGACAGCAAGACGCAGCCACCCCACCAAGCCTCCCTCCTCGATCCTCGATCCTCCTCCTCCCTCCTCGGTGGTTCCTACGATCATGCCTCTTGTCTGAGCTAGCGAAGCATTGTACCCATAAGCTTCAAACCCACAGGCACGAGCATCCCTCTCGGCCTGGACTGGTGCTATGGTCCGAGCAGCTCGGCAAGGCTGACTCGCGTGAGAGGGCATCTGGATCGACTCGAGCCACAGCGTGGGATGGCCTGTCCCTGTTCCTGCTCCATCCTCGATCCTCAGATCCACTAAGGTCCGCAACGTTGGCTCAGCGTGCCGCTCCTGCAGGTTCTGGACCACCACGCTTCGGGGCGACACGGTGACCACATCCCAGCCCTTATGCAGCAGCACTCCGAAGTGGAGCGCACAGCGTGTCGCCGGGGCCACCGCCGCGGGGCAGGAGCAGGAGCAGAAGCAGGATGACGCGGATAGGGGAGGAGGAGGCGGAGGAGGAGGCGGGGGAGGAGGGGGAAGAGGAAGAGGAGGAGGAGGAGGATGAGGGGGAGGAGGGGGAAGAGGAGGAGGAGGAGGATGAGGGGGAGGATGAGGAGAACGAGGAAGCAAGAGGAGGAGGAGGAGGTGGAGGAGGAGGAGGAGGAGGACGACGACGAGGACGACGAGGACGACGAGGACGACGAGGACGACGAGGACGACGAGGACGACGACGAGGAGGAGGAGGATGAGGAGGAGGAGGAGGAGGAGGAGTTAGAGTTGGAGGAGGAGGAGGAGGAGAGGCGGAAGAAGAGGAAGCGGAAGAGGAAGAGGGGGAGGAAGAGAAGGCGGAGGAGGAGGAGGAGGAATAGAAGGAGGCGCTAAGCAAACGCTCCTGCCCGCAGGCCTCCCTCCTCGATCCTCCCTGCCCTGGCCGAGTTCCGAAGACAGCGCCGGGGGGCACGTCGGAGGGGCGCCCGGGGGGGTCCACGGCGGGCCGCTGTGCCCCCCCCCCCCCCGCAAGAGCGCAGGTGGCGGGCGGCGAGCTGGGGCAGGAGCGGCAGCATAGCGAGACGCTGCGTGGCCGGCTCACGACGCTGCTGGTGGCTTCGGGGCTCCTCCTCCTCCCCCTCCTCCTCGTCCTCGTCGTCGTCCTCCTCCTCCTCCTCCTCCCTCCTCTTGATTTTCCTCCCCTCCTCCCCCCCTCCTCCTCCTCCTCCTTTTCCTCCTCCTCCTCTTCCTTTTCCTCTTCCTCCTCCTCTTCCTCCTCCTTCTCCTCTTCCCTCCTTTCCTCCTCCTCCTCCTCCTCCTCCTCATCCTCGGCCTCCCTGTTAGGCTCTTCCTGGGCCCTGTCGGGGTTCAGGAGACGGGGGTCAATGCAAACGGGTGTCAATCAGAGCGCAGGATCTTGCAGGGTCTTGCAGAGCCAAGGTTGCATTGACCCAGGCTCGGGTGCAGGATCTTGCAGGATTGACTGACCCAGGTTTGGATTGACCTGGGTCAGAAGATCCTCGATGCCTCTCCCCCATCCTTCTCAGGGAGTCCCCTCTCCTTTGTGTGAGAAAGCCAAAACATCCAGGGAAATGGGTCGAGACTTCCGGGGACCCCGCGTGCTTTGCAGATCTCTGACGTTTTTCCTCGATCTTGGCTTCTGGGGCCCGTGGTCACAGGGCCATCAAGAACGGATCCGGGGCGACAAGTTGCCTGTGGGAAGGGGGGTGGGACGGAAAGGCACATACATCCGAGACGAAAAGCTAACCTTGCCACGTCCCCTCTCTCAGCACGGTCGACGGATGGTGGGGAAGACCGACACCAGTTTCTGTCCATTTTACACAGGGCTCGCTGTCGGTGTCGCAGCGAGCGTTGCCCGCTTGGAACAGAAAGCCGCCTGCCTAACATTGTTTGCTGTTGGGCATCGTACCCTATTTTCACGCTCCTGTTTAGAATGCGACAGCCCTCAGGAGACAAGAAAGACAGCGGGAACTCTTTTTTCCCAACCAACTTGTTGTTGGGTCCTCGTTTTGAAGAGGCAGTCCCCACATTCCTCCTCCTCATCTTTCCTCCTCTTCTCCTCCTCCTCCTCCTCCTCCTCCTCCTCCTCCTCCTCCTCATCCCCCCCCCTCCCTCCTCCCGTCACCCCCCCCAACTTCGGTGCACCCTTCACACGTTTCGTGACCCACATAGGAAGCTCGACCGAGAATCCCAGTTGTGCAGCCCCGTGCGTCCCCGCCGCCCATTTCGGCACGCCCCTCACACGTTCCGTGGCCCCCGAGAGAGCTCCACCGAGGGTCCCAGTGGCGCAGCCCGCATGCGTCCGCTCCACTCCATTTCGGCACACTCCTCACACGTTTCGTGGCCCCAGAGGAGCTCCGCCAAGGGTCCCAGTGGCGCAGCCCGCATGCGTCCCCGCCACTCATTTTGACACACCCCTTACCCGTTTCGTGGCCCCGTAGGGAGACCCGCCACAGGTCCCAGTGGCGCAGCCCGAATGCGTCCCGGCCACCCATGCCAGCACACCCCTCACACGTTTCGTGGCCCCCATCCAAGCTCCACCGGAGGTCCTAGTGGCGCAGCCTGCATGCGTCCCCGCCGCCCATGTCGGCACACCCTCACACGTTTCGTGGCCCCCAAAAGAGCTCCACCGAAGGCCCCAGTGGCGCAGGCCGCATGCGTCCCCGCCACAAATTTCGGCACGCCCCTCACACGCTCCGTGGCCCCCACAGGAGCTCCACCGAGGGTCCCAGTGGCGCAGATAGCATGCTCCGTCTTGACTGTTTCAATGCTTTGGCTGTCTGGGATTCTCAGGGTCCCCCCCACCATCTGCCGCC